AAAAATTGATTCATAACATCATAAATAAGGTTCAATAATAGCTAAAAACTTATTTATTCTGTAAAGATGCTGACATCTTTACTGGCGTGTTAAAGTTGTTAAAACTGTACATATTTTATTCCAGCATTTTGTTCTAAGCAAATGCGAATACGTAAGTTTGAAGTCATTTCGTTTCCGATTTATGTACCCTGGACATCATTTTATATCCATTCAAATAACATCGTCATCGTATTACGGATAAGTTATATRCCAAAGTTTTCRACAATTTATGTGGGTCCCTTTTTCRGGAACGTCCTATACAAATGTGTGGTTTCAAGTACAAGTCAACTGTTAAAATTTAGTTGAAGAATCAACTTGTTTTGTTTCTTATGTATGACAAGTAAAAAATGAGTGTATCGACTTGAAGCCAACAAAACGACACACGTTTTTTGACAGGATGTAGAACARCATGCACACAAGTAGCTGATATAAGATCCAAGAAAACGGGACCATGGTTCAGAAGGTCATGGTCGTTAATTACTTCTTCTTTTGTCATTTGATAATACTTTTATGGACGTATAATAATCCATTAACTCAATAAATCGTATAAACTTGCACATCAGTTTTCATATGCTGTTTTTACACATGAAACGACATATGTGAAAATACAGTTTTTAGTACRGTGTTGTTTTATATGTGWAACATTCATGATTGTTGTGTTTGGTAAACAACAGTCTTGAGTGTTTCACATATGAAACAAGCATTTTTATACATGAAAACCAGTTTGCAAGTCTATACGAATTATTAGATTTACATAAAAAGGGGGCCCACTTTTGCATTTATGACAAAAATACAAGAAATGTGTTAAGTGTAACAACTTGTATGTGGACGACCAAAGTAGAGGACCAAGTCAATTGAACCAAAAATTCTTATAAATACAACAAAAAAATCAAATCTTATCCAAAATAATGTGGAAAATTTGGAAAATAGTAAAATTATATGAAGAAGTAACGTGCTTTAACTTGATACTTATTTTTAGTAAAGTACTTTCAGAACTTCTATGTTAGTACATAAGATGTAAAGTTTTAAATATTTAAGTACCAGCGTAACAGGTTGAAGCATTAACTGATTACCATGTTGATATGACTAACGATGTGGTATCAAACTCAGTATTATTTGCTATTCAGCTCAGTTTCATCTCATCATTTGCCACATCAACATGGTAACCGTCTAATGCTTCAACCAGTTACCTGGGTACTTAAATGTTTAAAACTTTACATCTTAAGTTCAAAATGAAAGTTTTGAAAGTACCTTACCTGAAATAGGTATCAAGTTAAAATACGTTACATTTTTATGAAATTTGCCCTTTGGAAAATTATGCTTAATGTCACAAATATAAAAAAGTTATGCTTTACATTGACATCATTTGAAAATATTCTCAAACTGGTAAATCTTTAAAATATATGTATTGTTAAATCTAGAATATGCTTAGGGACCGTTTAGCAAACGCTTTACCACGTAAGTTTTTAATACAATTCAACACTATCATTTGTTTATCAGGTAAGATTTTAGTCCACCAAAACGGTATCGTATGCAAAAAATTACCCTGTAAACACTAATTGTACTAAGAGTAGTTGCCTTTACTTAATTACCAGGTAAGAGGATCTTCTATGACCTTGTCCCTCTTATGCACAGCATAAGCAGTAGGCGTTCCTCTCAGGCAAACATTGGGTACCGGTAATTCCCTCTTATGAGGAAAGTAATGGTGAGTCACTAGGCTCATTGTACACCCGTTAGGCAATGGTGTTCTCGATCAGTTTCGTCACTCGGAAGTACAAGTTAGCAACTCTATATTTTCCTTAGAAGAAGTTGATTATTGGTTCAACCGGTTTGAACCAGAATTCTTTTAGAATTTATATTCATCAAGTTAAATAAAACCAAGATTGTATTCGATTAATAATAAACTAATAAATCCCACATGGAATTAGGGTCTACGCTCTACAGTTAAAACGTATGCAAATCTCACATCTACATCGAGAGGTAAAAACATTGTATCCATGAAAACCTCGACAACACCCTTAACATGTTAAACTTGCCTGTAAAATATGGCCACTTTTACATATTCCTGTTATAAAATATAATAACAAACCATAAACTGTATTCAGCTATATTCTGACACAACAGTCAAAATATATCTTTTAAAACAAGTATAATATTACTAAAATAAAAAGAGGGAATTACTAGGTGATTTCTAGACAACTAAAGTCCTATGTGCATATGCTCTAGATGATGCACATTCAATACCTAAAAAGCCCACTTGATTCAAGTACTCATTAATAATTAGCATATGGTGCCATGGTCTTCAAGTTTCCAATTTAATGCATCATATTATTCTATGAAGCTTCTATTTCTAACAACTATTATGGGCTATCATCTACAATCAAACTTGTATCTTACTCTAGTCTAGACCAAACTAATAACAAAGTATATTTCATTGGAAAGTGGGGTTTCTTATATCATTAAGCCACTATCAAACTGAATAAGCCTTGAGTACCATTAAGCTCGTTAAGATGCTGATAAGCAAACCCTAACACAAACACGGTATATCTCATTTGAAAGTGGAGTATGGTGGAAGAGATGTACAAACCAAACACAATATATCTCATTTAGAGGTGGGGTTAGGTGGATAAGATGCACAAAGACCTGACATTTACTCCATTTGGTAGAAATACAGTTTCCACTAGGGATGTTCAAAAAAACCGTTGAACCATTCAAACCGGTTGAACCAAGTCAAACCAGAGTTTTTTGGCGGTTTGGGCGGTTTGGCCAGTCTGAAAAATAGCCAAACTACTCAGTCTAATCTGGTTTAGGGTTTGAACATTTTTTTGAGTGGTCTGGACCGAACCGACCTCCAAACATATACATGTCTTAATTATATTTAGTTTTCATATTGTAGCTTAACTTTTATGGGCCAATTAAGAAAAAGTTCGTTCAAGTCATTAATTTTAAGTTTTCATTTCTCAATTGGTCACGTCATCTAAATTGACAAAAATTCTAAATCCGTGAAAAATCATATCAAAATTCCAAATCGTCATTCGACTTGCACAATACATGTCCAAAACTCCGAGTATTGTTATTGAACTCATTTAACCTTTTCTTTTAATTTCATCAATGTTTTTTTTATTTAATTTTAGAGATAAGTTTTTTTTAAAATTCGATATAGTATTTTCTAATAATGTTATATTAATAGAAATTTCATTTTGGATATTAATGTTATATCTTTTTTTAGTTCAAAATCCATAAGAGGTCCAAATCGTCTAAATCGGTGAGACCAGACCGTCTTTTTGTAGTCCGGTTTGGTTACTTGCTGCCATACCGCTTAGTTTGGAAAATTATCTAGACCGCCATTGCGATTTGGCTTGTGGCTTGAGGGGTTAAACCGTCCAAACCAGACCGCGACCACCCCTGGTTTCCATACAAACCTGCAAAGTCAAGACATGCTTAGCAAGTCTAGGTCAAGATTTTAACTGCTTGGATGAGCATTTCCCACACTTTTCTATCAACTTTCTTATTCACTTTTTCTTGTTTGATTATAATTTCCCAGTTTGTGGAAAATAAAAGTTGATCATAATAGAAGACTTGCGAGACTCGTATGCAACGGTACAAGATTAACGTATACCGAAACATACGACATCTTCTTTTCTTATTTCACTAACCTTTCATCGTCTTCAAGAAGAGATGACGTCAACGACATTACTGTCCACCCGTGGTATAGAGGCAAGATCTGCATACATTCTAGACCCTACCTCCATGTGGGATTTACTCGACCCGTTTCGTTGACAAGGTCTGCATACATCCTACCCCCAAACCCTATCTTAATGTGAGATTTACCAGTCCGTTTGGTTTGTAACTAAATCAACTTTTATGTTGGTATATAAGTCTTGTCATCAATTTTGTTGTGCATAGAAAATGTCGTTTTCAAAATTAGTCACGGTTGCAATTACCACCGCACTTTTTTTCTTTCAGCAACTGTGACGAATTTTGAAAACGAGATATTTTTCTTCTTAACGTGCTGTTTTCGTTCAATAAAAGGACATTGTGAATTAGTCAAAATACTTGTCCTTCAATATAGTAATAAATTGCCCCTTCAAGAATGTATACGAACAATAGGATCGAAGAATGAGTAGTTACAAGACGAGGACTTTTGGTGTCTCGAAGAAACAAGGGCATGATCTTTTTTCTTATCCTGCTGCTATATGGTAGACATCAAACTCATCTCTACACTTCAACTACAAAACATATCCTAAACCACAATAAATGTACCCCCATTCAACCTTTCCCATATGTACGACTTTCTATGAAGTTGATAATAAAATAGTTGTTAGCTGATAAGCTAGTCACGTTTGGTAAAAACTAGCCGATAAGATAGAAAACAACGTGTAAAATGATCTAAAAGAACATGTTGAAGAAAAATGGAAAATATTAGGGGGCATAACCAGAAAGAAAAAGGCGTCGGAGAAAAAGCCATCGAGCTTATTGAATAGTTACTCCAAGTAGTGTTTCAAAGAGCTAACTTATAAGCTAGTTTAAGACTTACCAAACGGGGTTTTCTCAATAAGCTCAATAAATAAGCTAACTTATGGTTGTCAAATATAGTCGAAGTAGCTAGGTGCACCTGAACAAGCAAGCATGTAAAATTGTCAATTTTATGGAATGATCATCAGATCATGCCATAATTCACTATAAGTTTTTTCCTCGACACCAAGAGTTACAAAGAATGAGTTGTGTATCTTGGGGTCTTCATGGAAACAACCTAGTTACCCTTTCGGTTAGAGGGAAGGTTGTGTACATAACTACATCCTACGCCCCCCCCCCCCCCCCCCTCCCCCCCTCTTTCGGACCCTACCTTGCCTGGGATTTAATGGATTTGTTCGGTTTGGTTTATTTAAAGATGACAGGCAAACAAAAGAACATGGCAATAATGGATATGTTTCCAACTAGTAAGAAAAAGCCAGCCATATCCCTTGACAAACTAGGGAAGGACTTTAGCATTCCTCTAAAATCAACTTTTCTTTCCACCGAAAGTGAATCACCAAATAAGTCAGTACCTAAATGTTGTTTTCAGTTTTATAGTGTATAAAAAAGTATCATTTCAAACTTTTAACACAAAATAGAAGAGAATACGCCAAATTACTAGGTGGTTTCTCGACTTGCTTCAATATGGTAGACATCAAAGTCGTCTCTGCACTTCTAACCACAATTAACCAAAAACCCTGCTGTACGTCCAAGTTTTCTTTAATGCCCAACACCACTCAATTAAGCCACGTACTGCAATAAGAAGAAAAAACTACACAAATGGGAACACTACATGGGTATGTGCACCTCAACAAGAACGAGTCATAATGACTATGATTTCGCCCTACAGTGGTAGAACCTGGTGAACCGTGTGTATGACTTCTCAACCTAAAACAGTAGCTTTGTTGTCTATCCCTAAAACAAAACCCGGGGGTGGGGGATCCCGTTCAGTAGAATTCAGAAGAATTCCTATTTTACTGTATTCACGAGAATTTTATATGGATTCCATATTATGAATAAAGCATTACAGAGAAGAGTTGTCAAGGAGTTTTTTTTATCCCCTAATGGATCTTCACAAGTTAATTTTGTATCTAGAAGAAGTATTAGTTATGGACCAAGGGTGGATTAAGGTAAAGATCAAGAAAAACTAAAAGTGTTTTAAGAACTAAACCAAAAGGTAAGTTTTCCCAATAAGAGAAACATACAAAGTGATCTAAATGGAATCTGATGAGAAGTGTAATAGGCAAGAATTTAGACCAAAAGGGCACAAATAAATAGCCCATATTTCTCGGTGTTAATACAAGAAAATTGGAATGTTGCCAATGTAAGCATTTTGAGGTAACCTTTGGCAAAGATTCAGATGTCAAATGGAAGCATGGTTGTAAACGAGGCGAGAGTTCAGTTCCTTAATGAGAGTTGTGGGTTTCTTCTCAATTTGTCAAAACCTATAATATGATGTAGTCATGTAGATGATTTTATTTTTGGGTTGTTAGCTTATAGTTATGGGTTGATGAAATATGCTATATTATGGAGAGATAAGTGGATCTTGGTCCCGTAACTGAGCCCAGATGACCTTAGAAGTTGGGCTAAAAAGCCCAAGAGGGTAAAGGTCCAAAGCCTTGAAGGGTTTTTGGTTGATCGTTGTTGTTACGTTAATATGAGAATGAATTGTTGTTACATGTCCAGGTTGATGCTAAAATCATGAAGTTTTCAAGGGTTTAGTAGCTAAAACTCAAGTGTCATTGATGGTGGGTAATTTTTCGAAAATGGATGATATCTTCAGAAAGGGTATGTGATCACTCTTTGTTCACATGATAATATGAGGGCGAAATGATGTTTGAATATAATCACAAATCGAATTTCTGTTCTAAAACAGATTTTTAACTGAATTTTTGAGTTGGAACTCATGCAGTAAACAAGAAACAAAGCAAATTTCGGGTAAACATTCAGTTTTCTTAGTTCTGTTTAGAAACATAATATAGTGCCCCTAGAAGTTTAACAGACTACATTTCAGTATTTGAAGCTTAAAAAGGTTGTTTAGAGAATCTCCAATGGACTGACTTAAAAGAACCTCCCATCGAAGCAGATTCTCCAAAATGGAGAAAATGAACGTTTTGGGATGTATTTTKCTCCAACAGATTCTCCAAATTGAGAAATTTTGGAAAATATGTCGAAAATGCTCTTATGAAATAAACAACTATGACAAATTGTTGAACATATCATTGAAGTATAATGCTAAGCTTAAGTGTCGTATGTTTGTTATCTCACTTTTCAAACTGATTCGATGTGGTTCTGAAGTCTAAAAAGCATAAATACACGATGTGGTTCTGAAGTCTAAAAGCATAACGATACGATGTGGTTCTGAAGCCTAAAAGCATGATAATAATAATAATTTATGTTTTCTATAAACTGAATATCTGTAATTGTCTATTTTACCCCTAGAAACCCAATTACATATAATTGAAGTTGCTTAAAGTAAACAAGAGAACTTACAAATGCAGAAGGTCCCTTGAAACCCTAGCAAACTCTGCTCCAGAAAATCTGAATCCATGGCCGATTTTCTCTTCAAAACTGCTTCTCCAGCATATCACTCCCTCTAAGAATCGAAAACCCAATTCTAGATTTAACTTCTGACCAAGACCCTTTCAATTTCCACAATTCAACACCACCAACCCTCGTTTCCCCCATACAAACCCTAGAAATCAACTCCGACACACATTTCTTCACTTCTTCATCACCACCACCGCCTTTTACTACGATTCGTGCATCTTTGAACACCGGCAAACACTTGTCTTCGGCGAATTTACGACAATTCAATCTCGAAGCTTCGAAACAATCCGACATTTCTCGTTCTTCGCATTTTTCTCTCTCGATCAATTCCTCTTTAGATACGCCACCGCCGATCACAGATTTCCACCACGGTGGTGCACACTTGCTGGACGCGCTGACGGAACAACCGATCCGAGCACCGGCCTCGCATTGTTGAATGATATTCGACTCGCAAAATTTGTATGCGGATTCCCAAGATTGACGGTCTTTGAAGCCGAGGACGAGTGAATCGCCTGCTCCGGCTAGTATGGGTTGTCGGAGGAGAGGTATCGGGCGGTCGAAGGTGATTAAAGTTGCCGCCGGTGAGTAATCATCTGGATTTGCGAGCATTCTTCGTTAATTGACCTCCGTAGGCGGTTGCTTTTCAGCCGGCATGACCGATTAGCCGGTTGTATAAAAATGTTGGTGCGATCTTTTTACACTTGCAACCCTTGATGTTTGCAAATATGTCAATTACAGTCCTTTGATTTACATACAGCCTTCAATTGTTCAAAGATCGTAAAACAATGTTAATAAAATTGTATACACCGATGCTCGAATTTCAGTTAGATCAAAATCCAAAACATTTGAATTCAATTGAAATCAAAAGCAATATCTGAACTCCTTCAAGCAATCAAAAGTCAAATCTTTACAATATGCCAACATCTCAGGGTCTGGACTAGTGATGGTCAAACCCGACGTAAGACGGAACCGGACCGGTTACAGCCGTCACTATTCTGACTCGGGACCGGAATTTGGCCTATCGTTGGCCTGGATTCTGGACCTGGACTATGAGAGGGTTGAGAAGAAGAGAAATATTACTTGGGCTTGGGCTTGGGCTTGGGCTTGGGCTTGATTGGGTTTCTGGGCAGTTGGGTCTGATTTTTAATAAAAAAAAATTAAAATAGGCCCAACATTTTGAGGGAGCCCAATAGGCCCAAGAAAATATACATATTACAAGGATGAAAGGTCTAAGGCCCATTTGATACAGGATAATATGACTTTTGACGCGATATGAGATAGGAGCATCCGCCACCACTACCGGCGGCCACCACCAGCCATCATCAACCGCCTTTACCTCTTCCTCCACCACCACCGTCAGCTACCTCCACCATAACCACGAGCACCACTACCTCCACCACATTGCCACAACTACCTCCTCCTCCATTGTCGGCCGCCACTACCACCGACAATCACCATGAGTAGCATCGTTAGCCACCACCCCTACCTTACCCACTACCACCACCACTAGCATCATTAGCCACCGCCTCTGGTTACCCACTACCACTTTCCTCCACCACCACTACCTCTACCATATCGRCCACAACTATATAATTTTATATAGTTGTCTATGACCATACAATTAGTTTTAAATAAGATTGAAACAATAATTTATTATTGTCAGTTAAAAATTCATTTTTGGCTTGGTTATGATATGATACCTACTTGAAGTGTACTACTAAAATAATAAATTGAAATTTATATTTCAATAGTTTGGTGATTCATGTATTAGAAATTAATGTTCAGGATAATTGAAATCAATGTTGTGAGAAATATCAAGGGGGTGTTTGGGATTGATTATTTAAAGTGCTTATTAACTTATTTCAGTGTGGTACCGATAATAAGGAGTTTTAGTGTTTTGATGGAGAAAAAAATAAAATGCTTATACCGGTTTGACATCGATAATAAGGAGTTTCTAATAAATTACTTCCTTCTAACTTATAGACTTATTCCGGTGTGGAAATGGTAATAAGAAGTTTTTAGTGTTTGGATGAGAAAAGAAAAGGGTATCTCATCTATTTTATCAACTTATCCAGTACGGTACCGTAATAAGTTAATCCAAACATTTTTATAAAACTCCAATTTGCCACAAGGGTGGTGCCTGATTGATTTGAGTTTGGCTTCAAAGGTCAAAAGTATCAGGAGGTCCCAGGTTCAAATCCAAGGAATAATAAAAATCCCCTTGTGGCCACGGAGGTTCAAATGTGGCGACTCCGGGCTACCTGCAAAGCAGGTGGTCGCCCTGAGATTAGTCGGTTCGCATAGCGGGTTGGATAAGAGTTGCCTAATTTCTCCACAATGGAACCATGATATGCCCGCCCCTGATGCTCAGACGTATACAAAACATATATCTATAGATTCGGGCACACAAGGATTCAAAAGTTTCCTATAAACCGAAAGGCTCCACGACACCGATTGCTCGAAAACCTTTATTCTCAAGTATACAAATTGCAGTCGAAACATCAAAGTCGAACTTAAAAACACCAAATAATGTCGCACACAAACCAAAAACCACAAACCACCGGAATCGCCATATGGGCTTTTCGATCTCTCAAATTGGTTCACCTTTCGGCACAATCTGGTCCTTGACCCACATGTAGACAGGAACCAATACGTAGTAGACTCCAGCTGTCGCACCAAGAAGGAACCGTAAAAAGAACACAAACGGATTTACAGCCTTCTCTACGTCCTCCGCCTTGGGACCAAGCTGCAACAAAAATGCAAATATAATGAATCCCGACACCAATGATTACCAAACCAAACAAACCCAGTATATCCTACACAGATATAGAGTCTACAAGATAGGATCTACGCAAACATTTCCCTTTTGGCAACTTCGTAAAATGAAATTACTTATTTGCCCCTATTCACAATGAACAAGATTTGATGATATAGATTTGCATCCGTAAGAAATCATATTTCTCGTAAATATGTCTTAGTCAAATGCTGCATTTTCGTAGAAGAAAGATGATGAATTAACAAATACGTATAACCTTCCTTCGCTCCCTCAGAAAGTACCGAATTCGACCAAGAAACAAGTTAAAAGAAACTAATTGACTTCACACGTCCCAAAATAAATGTCCACAATAAAAAAGGCACACAGTTTAGAAAATATATAATTACTACACTTTTTAATTAACCAAATGACAATTTTACCCTTAATAATCAAAGGAATACCGAATTTCTCCATCTCATAATTAAGGGTATAATTGGATAGCAGACACTCACTTTTGAAAGTGGACACTTATTTTGGGACGGAGGAAGTATTACTCATAAATTCATTGATCCAAAAGTTGCATATATCTCATTGTTATTGGTAACGAGAAATGGAAAAAAGATATTACCTCCAACGGAGAATCCCCTGATGCAGGTTTGATGCCAGTAACCGAGCATCCCATGATCAGACCATGGCGACGAACACCACGATACCATTTTGGTCCAATCCTCTTAATCTGCACATCTTTGAATCCCGCCTTTTCAAACCATTCAACGTACTCTTCCTCTTTTGGAAAGAGCATCCACATATCTGCAAAGAAACGAGATAACCAAAAGGTTGGATACACAGGACCGATTAAACAAGCCTTTCCGTCCATCTTCAGAACCCGGTATGCTTCTTTGATGCCTCTTTGTGGGTCTGGCCAGTATTCGATGCTGTAAAAGAATGGTTACAAAGCCTATAAGATCACAAAATCACAGCTCTCTCTCTCTCTCTTTATATATTTATATAGGGGATATATATATATAAGAGCAGAATCCTTTAGAAACCTAAAATTGATTAGGAACCCAGGAACCGCCCACAGTGTGACACGTGGCATATTCATCATGAATATGGATGTGTTATAACACCATATTCATCATGAATGTGTGATTCATGATAAATATTCATCCTGAAAAGGGACACGTGAGACGCGGTGGGCAGTTTTTGGGTTCCTAATGGAACTTCCCTCTCTCTCTCTCTCTCTCTCTCTCTCTCTATCTATCTAATTATCTATCTATCTAATTATCTATCAATATGTATGTTCTATAAATGAACCACATTGAATCTTAAGGATATTCTAGGATACTAGCATATCATATAGATTTCTAGCTTTTTTCACAAACTGGGTGTCTTCAAGGAAATATGATCTCTACCCGTTGGGGTAAGAGACAGGTCTGCATACATCTCATCCCCAAGACCCCACCTCCGGATGGGATATACTGGGATCTTTTGGTAAAGTTTTTGTCTCTACAATCCTTTTGAAGAGGTCGATGGAGAAATCCCTCTTTTGTAACAGTATCATTTCAATGAACATACATAATTGGATGCTAAACTAAATCAAATGAGCCCAGTAAGTCTCATTTGGATGTGAGGTCTAGGGAATAGAATGTATGCAGACCTGTCATCTATCCCAAGATTAGATGCTCAACATGCCTATATACAATCTATCTTCAAGGGAATACGATGATTAAAAGATGACATATTTCCACCCAATATCCTATCATTACAACTCAACTTTTCGTTAAATCTCAAAGTAAAAAAAAAAGCTACTAAACATGGTACTTTATTAGTGACCCTTTATAGGTCTTGACTTCTCACATGTCTAATATCTCTTAAGTCTTAAATCAATCCGACCAATCTGTTAGAGTCCCACATCAGCTAGCCCCCTCTTGACTCTCTAGGACAATCTGTGCACGTCTAGCCTCTGTAAGAGGATGCCTCTTAGGGGCTATTTGGTTGGTTTCCTATTAAGTCATGTATGGATAAAACTGCATGTGTGGATTAAACTGTGTATAGAGATTGGGAGGGTTTTTTCATGCATGGAACTTGGAAGGAGCTTGTTTTTTAATTGGGAGGGACGAGTCTAGAAAAAACTCGGCTTTCTATATAAAGGCATGAAGCTCACCCCTAGAAGCTTACCCAATAAGCCTCTTTCTATATCAATAAACCACTACTAAACAGTCATGTATAACTCCCCGAATAAGCTATGAATCCGTTAAGCTCATTAAACATGTCTTTAGAATCTCACGTCGGCTAGACTTAAACCATTTATCTTCAATATGAGGACTCTTTTAGAGAGTAATCCAACAGTACTCCACATATTTTCACAGCTTCAAATAAAGAAATGTGAAAATCAAACCAAAGGGAATTTCAGCCATCTAAAATCAACTTTAAGAAGCCATCCATACCTTCCAGCAGACACATATCTATCGGCATAATCCGTTTTGAACGAAAGCTCCTCCGCATCTCCTTCGATAATCTTGCATTCCTTCAAAGCCTCCTTTTCTCTAGCTTTTGCAAGCTGATGAGGTGACTGATCCAAAATGGTGACATTTTTAGCATCCACATGCTCTACAATACCCAAAGTAGTAAAACCAGTTCCACCACCAACATCCACCACAATCAAATCACGGCGATTGAGATCAGCCGGTTCTAAAGCATCATCTCTCATGTCTTCAGTCCAATGGCCAGGGTTTATCACATGATCATAGACAATTGATAGAAATCTATAGAACCAGAATGCCTCTTTTTTGTGTTGTATAAATCTAGGTTGTGAAGCTGACCTAGGTGCAGAGACGCTGCATTTGGGAACGATTAGAGTTCTAGATCGAAAACTAGGGTTTCTACGAACCAAATTGATTTTGGGTAAATTCCTAAATTGCAAATCTGATCGATTGGATTCTAATCCTTTTGGGGTTGATGATGCTCTTGCGAATGCAAGATGTTGAGCTCCATAGAGCATCGAAGAAGCCATGGTTCTTCAAATAAACAAAAACCCAGATCGGAAACGTAATAAATTGCTAATTTGAACTAGAGATGGTGACATGCAAATGGGGTTGGAGATATGAAGGATAGTAATGGGTTGCCGACTGCAGATGAAGCAGTTGTTGGAGTTAAGAAAAGGTACAAATGTGTAACGACATTGACTTTGGGGGGATATGATTAGATAGTAATTGGGAGAGACAGACTGGGGTTTTGTGGCGATTGGAGTGTTTTACAGTTGTTGCGAATGTTTTGGTTTAGAATGATTAAGTGGTCAGAATGATTAAGAGACTTTCATAATATAGTGTAAAATAAAATATAATTATTTGGTAATTGTTTACTATGAAATTAAGGTGCTGAATGGTTAAGGAAGACTCACGATGCAAAATTATTTTAGAACCATTAAGAAGCAGAAATTTTTTTTGCCAAATAAGATTCACCTCTTAACGATTCAGATTCTACCACTTAATGAAACTATTAAAAGGTAAACAAACAACCCTTAAGTAAGGATTGATTCTGACCAATTACATTTTGGTGCTCAAAAAAATCCGACCAACATGATTTAAAAAAAACTCAATCCAATATATAACGTGATACATAATTGATACAAGATTAGGTAAAACCGTATATATTAAGTTGAAAGTGGGTCAGGGTAGTTTGAATCAAATCAAATGAACCCGATGTCTTTCTAACCTACGGATTTAATATGATTATTAAGTCCGTATACTAGACCAACCCGTAAATATACATCTATTCAAAATTATATTATAATTTCAACTGTAATTTTACTTTCTTATTTGTATGAACTTTTAACTATTTTTTGAGTTTGTTAGCATTTTTTATATGTTCTCATTTCGATTTTAGTTCGCTTAAAACGTTTAGCTAGATTGTAAAATCATGTACCTGTTAGACTCGGCTCATTCGGCCCGCTAGAAATATGGGTTTGGACAACCATTATCGAGAAAAATGAAAGGACCCGGGTTTGTTCGTTAAAATAAATGGGCGGACATGGACAATGTAAAAATAAATATGGACAGACACGTCCAGCTCGTTTATATTTTATAATTAATATTTTTGTACCATTAATTAAAATAATACTGATATATTTATAATTAAACTGTTAAAGTTATAGGATGAGACTTTTTGGTTATTCTCGAGAACTCAAAAGGCTAAGGGGTTGTTTGTTTACCTCTTAATAATCTCATTAAGAGGTTCAACTCTGATTTTTTTTTTTTCATTTCTTTCTCCACTTGTTGAGATCGACGTGTCGCTTTAATTGCTTAACATTTTAATTTCAACGGTGTTTTTCCTTTACTTTTTGGTTCCATATTTTTTAATTAATTGATAGTAATCAAGTTTATAGATTTATAAAATTTACACATTTTAGGCCCGTTAGCCCATAAGCAAGCTCGACCCATTTGTAGAGGGCAAGGGAAAGTTGTCAAGCCGAAAAAAGGTCTAAACCCGTTGGACAAAAAAAGCTAGGCCTGACCCGAATCCAGCCCAGACCCACAAATGATCACCTCTAATATACAATTATAAGAACAAAAACAATAATGAATTAAATAATATAAGTATTACAATTATAATTTTATAAGTAGATAAATGAAAATAGCAATTTTCAATAAACTACAATGACAAAAAAAAAACATAATTTAGGGGTCGTTTACCAAACGCTTACTCGGGTAAGTAAACATCAAGTCATTTTACCTTACCGGATGAATATGATAAGAATCAAGAATCTTACCCGGTAAGAGCGAGACAAGAATCAAGAGTCTTGCCCGGTAAGTGAATGTGACGAATCTTACCACGGTAAGCGATTACCGGGTATTGTTGCATATGATACCGTTTTGGTGTATACAATACCGTTTTGGTGGAATAAAACCTTATTTGTTAAATAAATGATAGTGTTAAATTTACCGGTAAACACTTACCCGATAATAATATATGTAAGCTTTGGACCACTTCACTCCTCTATATTAGCCCAATATAGTTTGTTGGGCTCTCCATACCATATTACCCACTGAAATAGCCCAAATTATGAATTATTTGATGTGAAATGATTGGTAATTTCAACTAGCTCTAAATTTCAGATCTTTTTTTTATTAATCTGGATATCTAATCCGCTATGTGAGCGGAATAATCTTGGAACGACCACCGTTTTGCAGGAGCACGGAGTCACCGCATTCGAACCTCCATGGCCACAAGGGGATTTCTATTCCTCATTGGATTCGAACCTGGAACCTCCAGACACTTTTGATCTTTGGAGTCCAAGCTCAAACCAATCGGACACCATTCTTATGGTTGAGATTTTTATATTAGAGTTAGTTAGAAAGACTAAAAGTAAAACAAAAATGGTAACCACATTAGTCAAAACTGTAATTGGTTTTAAAGAGGGATCAAACTTGATAATGAATAACAATTATAAGGACCAAAATGTAATTTACTCGAAATGAAATGTTCTAAAATAACATACTGTTTAAACCGTGTTATTTCCACGACAAATAATTTGTTTGTAAAAAACGTAACATTTCTTATTTTTATGAAGAGTAAATTACGTTTTTAGTTTTTATGGTTTGTTACAAATTTATATTTTCAACCTTATACTTTTGAAATCTCGCTTTTCATCCTTGTGTTTTACAATTTATAGCTATTTTTGTCCTTGTAACTAACAATTTATTTATGTTATCGTCCCTCACACTTAAAGATTGTAAAATAGCCATATGGAGTTAGCATCACTGACTAAAATAGCCATGAATTACAAATTGTAAAGATGAAAACAGTAATCTTGAAACCATATGAACTAGAATCGCAATTTTTAAAAACCACATGGATAACATACGTAATTTACTCTTTTATGATCTTTACATGTAGAGGTGGCCAAAAACCGGTTCTGCACTGGGCCTAAATTGGTCCCGGTCCCAAACCGTAACAATCCGGACTGGTCCCGTAAAAAATATTAAGGCCGGTTAAGGGTACTTGTAACCGGTCCGAGGATGGACCTAAACTAGTCATATATTAAAAAAAACATTTTATTTTTATTTATTTTTAAATCTCTTTTTGATAAATTTTTAAAAATACTTTAATGTTATTCTAATACTCTTTAAAATATCTAATTAGGTCAATCAAATATACTTAAAAAATACGTTTTATTGTAGTTTTATAATTGATTTTTAAACAAATACACATAAAAATTACGTTTTATTACAGTTTTATAATTGGTTTACAATCAAATACACTTAGAAAGCTAGAAATACATTTAAAAATGCATGTAAAAGTACTTCTTCTTCTTTTTATTGAAAAAATCAGGTTGGTCCCTAGCCAGGCCTATAACCGGTCCAAAACCTGTCCCAGGCCGAGCCTTGTTTTTTGATGAAAACCATAACCGTCTTTAACCGGCTGTCCCATACCGGTCCCGTGTCGGGACGGTCCTTCGCTTCTCCCAGACCGGGCCAGGCCCATWTGGCCATCTCTAGTTACATGTATAATGTATTTATGTATGGGCCTTTTCAAGATTTTCGTATATGGGCTTTGGTAAAATGGTTCAATTGGGCTGGGCATAAACAACCGATTGGGCTGGGCTTTAGAAAAATAAAGTAATTGAATAACAAAATGAATTTCACATGGAATTTTTGGTCCTTTCAACAATTTAACATTCGAGCTTAGAACCATAAATTATTTTAATTTTATTTAAAGTTTTGGGGTAAATTATTTGGGCAAACAGTTGATTATACAGAACCTTTCACTAAGGACATTTATGTGACGGGACATTTTTTGACTCATTCAGTGGCTGAAGCTAGCCCCGGGGGTGGCGGACAAACCCGAGATCTGTTTTGGGCAAAGCCAACCCGCTCCTTTACCAGTCGAGCCACACATCATTGAATGAAGTTCGATTTATTCATTTTGGGTTCAGTCATGATTCGTTATTCATTTTTTTTAGTGTAAGTTTCAATTATTTTTGTTTGGTTTCGGTTAAACCGAATAAGAAATTATATAATTTTTAAAAACTATTTTTTGTTTACAGGTTATCTCAAGATTTCAAAATATTGATTATATATTTATTCAATTTACATATTATCCGAATCAAATAACCCAAAACTGATTAAATAAAACCAAATTCGGTCCATTTATCGATTTGTTTGGAGAATGCAAACAATACAGATAATCCGATTGAATAACGACCAGATATACAGGTTGTCATAAACTACCCAACTGAAAATCATGATATTTCTTGTAAAGCTTACACAGCCAAAATCCAAAACGGTATGTGAGTCTTTGGCCTCTTAGGAGGTCAAGGGTTCAAATCTCACCAAATACGAGTAAGGTATGTGAGTTTATTTGTTCTATTTGACGTATATAAATATTATATGCTTCAAAAAAGAACTTAAGAATTTATTATTCTTATACCGGGTTTAATGACATAAAACTAAAGCAGTAAGTTGATCTGATAACATTTAGATCAACTTAAATCCACTGCTTAATTTTTTCTAGTTAATCGACAACCTAAGACTTATAAGAAACTGATAATATGCCTAGTTTTTATGTTGGACGGATTGTCACAAGCTTTGGTGTATGGTTCTAGGTCTCGTTAACTCGTTTATAGGTTATTCAGTGATTTTTCATCACATATCTGCAATTAAATGGCTCATTCTTTGATCATATCTGCTCCCATCTGTGTACCTTTCAAATTTATTACTCATACTGACTGTTTATTTTACGAAAACAACGATTTTCATGTTTTCTTTTGCAATCTTACGTTCAACATTTCTTACAACTTCTACGCAACTACACTGTCTGGTCTTACGTATTTTTGTCATCAAGTTAATTCACAAAGATTAAATCAACTCCAGTGATTCAATCATATATATCACTAAGAGATCGTTTACCAAACACTTACCCAGTAAGCATTTGTTACCACTTACTTACTGGGTAACACTTTAGTCCACCGAAACGACATCATATGCAACAATTTACCCACCGCTCCCACTTACCGCGTAAGACTCTTTGTCCTTCTCTCGTTCTTACCGGGTAAGATTCATAGTACTTTCCATATTCATTATCTAAAGTAATGTGATTTGATAAACACTTACCCAGACAAGTGTTTGATAAACCACCCCTAACTGTATAACAAAAAAATAACTCTTATGCAT